ATGTCAAGTGGTTGAATAAATTAAAATTGACGATGCAAAAAACATCACGAGACCATGTGACTTGCACAATAAATAAAGTTGAAGTGAACAATTTAAAAAAGCAATTATGGGAGGCTAATGTGACCGCTGCGTGTTCTTTGCAATCTTGCTTGGCAATGGACACCCCTATAGACACACCTGCAAAAATATATCATGGTAAGTTCTCGACAGGCACAACAACACCTGAATGAGTAAACATTTTTGAATCCAATTAACGTCAGTTTCACTGACTCAAACAATTAAATATGAATGCAGCCAATGCTGCCGCGAGCAAGACAAACAAAACTCGGTGCACTTAAGAAGCTGATTTGACCTCACGTGGAATTCTGTCCTCATATGGGTATTGTCCTCCTGGATCACCTACCCACCTAAAACAGGTTTATGTGTATTTTTCTTATGTCGTAGAGCAGTGCCGCAGTGGTTAGTACACTGCACTATGAATCTGGTGAACAGAGTTCGATTCCCATACACGGTTGACATGAGTAGCAATTGATATCCGAACTGGTCCTGGTCACCCCCATTCACCAACCCACATTGATGAGCATGGTGAAGTATGGTACTGTAAAGACATAACAAAAAGGTGTTGGGAGGCGTACATCCATCAGTGGATTGATGAAGGGCTGTACATTCCATTGACTTGCTCATGACAACAAACTTAGGTACACCAATAGTTTTTAACAAGTCAGACGTTTCAATTCCACAAACGAGAACGTCGCCATCGAAATTCCTCGCGGGGTGAACAGTCATGTGTATAGGATGGTCCAGATAGATGTCTTGTGACCCCCCAATTACATTATGAGACCTCCTTTGCCAGTAACAAGATATAGTAATAGGTTTTACCCTTTTAACTGGCACAAAAACTGACACCTTTATTCAAGGCATCATGTTTGCAATAACCACAACACAAGCAGTCAAAATGCAAACAAAATAGACAACTCTGATAATAATATGCACTGTCCTTGAATTTGATTGGTCCGTACCCGAGACGGCTTTTCTTAGAGCTTTTCTTAGAGCCGTCTCGGGTGTGGACCAATCAAATTCAAGGACAGTGCATATTATTATCAGAATTGTCTATTTTGTTTGCATTTTGACTGCTTGTGTTGTGGTGCTACCTCGAGTCCTAGACCAGTCCCTGGGTGGCCCCGTTTCCAAACCCCATACTGACCATGGAGTACGATAGAGTCGATTCAAATACCTCCCCTGACCGATCGAAAGGTGTGGGGAGGCACCGTGCAGGGTGTAAATACACAATAGCAAGTACAGTACTTGCTGTCCCCATTACAGTTCAATAGACACGTGTAAAGAATGTGAGATGTCAGAACCTAGTGTGAGCTGTACAGAGTGGTACAAATGTCTTGTGACCCCATTTGAGCCTCTAAAATGTTATATTTTTTTAAAGTAAGGTTTTCTTAAAACAGACAATGCGCACAGGAAAACAATGTTAGGGGTGAATTAATTGGGGGTATAGTAATAGGTTTTACCCTTTTAACTGGCACAAAAACTGACACCTTTATTCAAGGCATCATGTTTGCAATAACCACAACACAAGCAGTCAAAATGCAAACAAAATAGACAACTCTGATAATAATATGCACTGTCCTTGAATTTGATTGGTCCACACCCGAGACGGCTCTAGGAAAAGCTCTAAGAAAAGCCGTCTCGGGTGCGGACCAATCAAATTCAAGGACAGTGCATATTATTATCAGAGTTGTCTATTTTGTTTGCATTTTGACTGCTTGTGTTGTGGTTATTGCAAACATGATACCTTGAATAAAGGTGTCAGTTTTTGTGCCAGTTAAAAGGGTAAAACCTATTACTATACCCCCAATTAATTCACCCCTAACATTGTTTTCCTGTGCGCATTGTCTGTTTTAAGAAAACCTTACTTTAAAAAAATATAACATTTTAGAGGCTCAAATGGGGTCACAAGACATTTGTACCACTCTGTACAGCTCACACTAGGTTCTGACATCTCACATTCTTTACACGTGTCTATTGAACTTTAATGGGGACGGCAAGTACTGTACTTGCTATTGTGTATTTACACCCTGCACGGCGCCTCCCCACACCTTTCGATCGGTCAGGGGAGGTATTTGAATCGACTCTATCGTACTCCATGGTCAGTATGGGGTTTGGAAACGAGGCCGCCCAGGGACTGGTCTAGGACTCGAGGTAGGACCCTCCACGGACGTTGGTGGAACAAAGCACTCAGGTAGTTCGGATCGTGTTCCAGTGTGTTGACCACTGTGCTACAGCTTACTCTTATGGTTTTTTTATCATTGTATTGACGACATTTGATAAAAACAACATTTGGATCAGCACCTGCTATGAGATATGGATCAGAAACATTGACAAAGTGACAAATTAAAATTATCATGTACATGTAAGGTACAGCCCGTTTGTCAAACCACTACTGCATGAGGGCCTCGGCATACCGTTCGCCAAGAAGCATTGAGAGCCGCGTGACTAGAATTACACATTACGCGTAAATTCGAGAACTTATGTAAGTTTGATATACATATACTGACTGAAACGTAAATGCTTGTTCGAAGCCACTCCATGGATTGCTCTGTTGCATGACCGTGAGCGATGGTGGCGGCTCGAGATGGCCTTCATCCAGCAGTCAATAGGTCATTACTAATTCTGATGGTGCTGAACTGCAAAACAAGTTATAGTGTATGGGATGGTGAATAAATCTTGTTTGCGTGCACCCCTATTATCAACTCCTATATATATGAAAAACACCCCTATTCTAATTCTGGAAAGAAAGAAAAAAACACACAAATTTCAAACACAATGCGGTCACCCCCCTGGGCTCTTGGAGGAATGCCCTTGCAGCCTACAACAAACACAAAAGGCTGCCCTGCGGGTGAGTGGGGGTGAAGTACGGACGGAGAGGGCCGATGGGTGGTGGGGGTGTGGGTGGCACGGTGATACAAGCGGGTAAAGTATTGTGCGGGGCTTTCGAGAGGCGATGATGAGACATTGAATCTTCTGGTGGTTGAAGGGTGGGGGGGAAGGTAGGCGCTGTGTGGAGGTAGTCGTACATGGTTATGGGGGAAGGGTCGCTGTTCGTGTGTGATGGGGGATTTGAGCTGTGAGGGAATGAGGGTGAGGGGAGGGAGTGAGATTTGCTATGGTTCGGGGTTACAGTGCAGTGGTCATATTGGTGGTGCAGTCTCTTGGTACTGGTGATCGTAAAGTATGTTTTTTAGTGATAGAGTTGGTTATTACTGTTTTATCTTAAAGTCCAGTGCTTGTTGATGCTTCATTGTGAATTACTTTAGAGTCTGGAATGTAATGGAGATTACACACAGCAGGAACATCGCCTCCTCCTGCGAAAAAACTTGGCAAGACCCTACCTGAAACTACATTTCTTGAGACTCGGTGAGGCTTTCCTGGGAAAAAAATAAATCCATAAACGTAGTCCAGTAGTTTGTCTATTGTAGTGCACTTGTTATGGCAGTAATGATTGGTGTTGTCTAAGAGAACTGCTTGTTATGTACTGTAGTCCAATAGTTAATATAGTTATGGTAGTGGTTGCATGGCACTAGTCACAGTATAACTTATAACAACAAAAAACGAAACATGTTTGTCAATAAGGAACATATAACAGGCGACGTTTCGGTGAATGGCCCTTCTTCACGTAAACAAATAACTCAAGCAATATAACGTGTTTACAGTCCAGTAGAAGTCGAATTACTATTGTGTTGTATTGTGGTCTCGTGCCGCGGGCCAGGTGATGGAGCTTGGTCGCAGGTAAAGCGGAGAACGGTTGGGCCACGTGCGGTGCGAAAGAAGTTCAACATACAGCACGTGATATAAGAATAGGTTTTACCCTTTCTGGCAATAAAACAGTTGTGTTAAGATGTTATAAACTCAGCAATCATTGGAAAGATGTCATCAACCACTTTGGGTCATGACTTGATTTGTTTTCTTGTTAACCTCCACCGTCAGCAGTGTGGATGTGTGTAGCGAGGTGCAATGCCCCCTCCCCATCTCTACCCCCCTCTCTCTACCCCCCCTCTCTCCCTCTTTCTACCCCCCCTCTCCCCCTATCTCTACCCCCCCTCTTTACCCCTTTCCTCCCCTCATCTCTACCCCCCCCCATCTCTACCCCCCCCCTCTCTACCCCCCTCTCTCCCCCTATCTCTACCCCCCTCTCTCCCCCCATCTCTACCCCCCCACTCTCACCCCCCCATCTCTACCCCCTTCCTCCCCTCATCTCTACCCCCTCTCTCCCCCTATCTCTACCCCCCCCTCTCTCCCCCCCATCTCTACCCCCCTCTCTCCCCCTCCTTCTCTCCCCCCCTCTCTCCCCTCATCTCTACCCCCCCCCACTCTCACCCCCCATCTCTCTCCCCATCTCTACCCCCCCCCCACTCTCACCCCCCATCTCTCTCCCCATCTCTACCCCCTATCTCTACCCCATTCCTCCCCCCCATTGTCTAACACACTTTGACTGCGCCCTCCTACTCCTACGTGGGTTTTTTGCTTTTATTTTCAATTTATTTTAATTTTAAATTTTTATTTTATTATTTTCTATCGACGTGACTTTACCGAAAGAACAAAGAAAATGCATATACTATCAGAGCACGTTTTTTTTAATTTGCATGTTCACCACAAGTATATGTGGTTAATGCAGACATGGTTCCTTGCAAAAGGTTTAATTTTTGGTGCTTTAACATCCTAACACAACTGTTTCAGTGCCAGAAAGGGTAAAACCTATTGTGATATTTTGAGAATGGCAAGGGAAGCAACGTGATACAGTGCGCGCACTGTACACGATCGTGCGTGAATGGGGCTGAACTCAGTTGAACGCATCACCTGCGATGGGCGTGGCCTCTGTTGGTGGAGGCGTGGCCTCATGGGGGGGGATAGGGCGTGGCCTTGATGGTTGGGGGGGGCCTGGCCTCAGGTAGAAAAAAGACGATGGGGGGGGGGGCTGAGGGCGTGGGATAGGAGGATCGGGGCGTGGTTATAGAGGAACGGGGGGCGTGGCATCGACTGGTGGGGGCGTGGCCGCGTAGGTGACACCGCCTCCTCACCTGCCTGCCGCGTCGTCGTCTTCCCCCAAGCGAGTGGAGAGGCGGAAGCGAGTCGAGCTGTCGGGAGCGCAAGGTGAGCGAGCGAGCTAGCGAGCGCGTGTTGCGGGTGCGTGCCGGGGGGTTAACGCGTGTTGCTCGCTTCTGGCGTTAACAAAGTATGAAGTTGCCTTCAGAGCGCGAGAGGGGAACGGCGCGCACGTACGCGGCGTGAACAGGTGTCCCTCCACCCCCCTACTCCAACCACCGGCGGCTCGGCTTGGGTTGTCCACGCAATGGCCGTGCGTTAACCGGCAGGTCCGCGCGTGCCGAGAGCACCAGGGTTGCGTTGTGTAAACATCGCCGCTGGGGGGGGGGGAGACAAAGGCGGACGTGCGCGGTGTTGTCCACCACCCTATCCACCACCCTATCCACCACCCTATCCACTCGCTCGAGTGCCGTTGTTTGTCCCCAAAGGTCCTCGCTAAAAGCCCTTGGGGGGGGGGGGGGCCCCCCACACAACGGTGTTCAAGGCTACAAACGGGGATCTTTCTCTTTGTGTGTGTTTATTGTTCTAGATTTGAAGCTTTCGTGACTGCAAGGATCCATACTCTTTGGTTCTATTCGGTAAAGTCACGAATAGAAACCAAAGAGTATGTGTTTATTGTGTTTGGCGTGCACGCGCACGCACGCACGCGCGCGCCTTTGTCTCCCTCGAGCGACGGCCCTGGGGGCTTTAAACGCTTGTGTGTGTACCACGCACTCGTGGTTAAACGTACACGTTACGCACGTGAATGCATCGTGTAACTATTAATAGGTAACGTTACTTTTACAGCTCTTTATCAGGCCACTGCCGGATGGAGGCTTCCTCACACGGTGGCGGGCCAAAGGGCTGTTTGGTCATACTTCACCACCCTGGGATTGATGATCAGAATCTTGAGTCTTGAGGAATCCGATGAGCCATGAAGCTCTTTTTTCACACATGTCCAGTGTGGTGTCATCCATTCGACGCTGATGTTAGCCGCGGCCTGGAATGTAACTTTGATGTGTGAGTTCAGAGCGCGGCGTGTTAGTTTGTAACCACAGGTGACCTCTACTACAATGGCTGGTTGTATTCCGCAGATCGGTAGTTGTTGTTGCCCAGTAGCTTGTTGTAAGAGTGCTGGTTATAATCCATGATTTATGGTTGTTGTGTTACTAATTGCGGTAGTTGTGGTTGTAATTCTATAGTTACGTTAGTGGTTGTTTTGTATCTAGTTCAGTACTGTTGGTGGTAGTGGTGAATTGTATTTCAGTAGTTGTATTTTGGTCCAGTAGTGGTGTTCTGAGTAGTTATGTTGCAGTTGTGTTATAGTTCAGTATAAATGGTAGGCTGTTATGATAGTGGTATTGTAATACCGTGGGTCATGGGAATGGTGAAGGTTGTATGATATAATGTACTATAAACGGTTGTTTGATTACATTAGTTATGATGGTGGCTGTCATCCTGCAGTTAATATCGTGGTAGTTGCTGTTTGATGTTGTCCAGTGGTATTGGTGTTGTCTTGTATTTGAGTGGTTACGGTGGTGGTGGCTGTGGAATTTCAATGGTAGTGGTGTTGCGTTTGAGTAGTTATGGTCGTTACATATTAATTATTTCGTGATGGTAGTGGTGGTTGTATTTTAGTCAAGTTGTAGTGGTCGATGGTGACTTATTCTGGCGCTTGGTAAGATACTTCAAAATAATACATATGCTTAAACAAAGGTAGACAATCCTCGTTTATCCTTTTGTTCTGTTGTGGCTGCTCGAAATTACTAACTAATGCCAACAGGGCATTTGAGGAATTGATTTGGCCAGCACCATGGATCAATGTTTTTGTCTTCCCACTGCACAAGATTGTTAAGGTTGTGTCGATCTGTAGTAGGGCAAGGACTGATTCACCTATTTCTTGCCACCTTATTTTCATGGCTAGGAATGAAACCCATCATGTCACTGGGTTCATAATGCAGTGCACTCGCACACATGCAGCGACACATACAAATTGCAGTACTATACATTCGAACCCCTTCTTATTCGCGGTGATGTTTTCTTGTTCATGTTTTTGTTTTTTTGTTTGTTGCGGTTGCATCCGATTCAAGATCCGAATGGCTCACAGGGCTATACCAAATAAATGAAACAAATAAATGAAATGAAACAAATACATGTGGGGGGATGAACATTTTGGATCCTATCTTTGAATTTGCTCAGTGGAAAAAAATGTGTGGATAATCAAAAAAAGTCGTTCTGCAATACTGGATGGGAAAGCTGTGGATAATTGCGGTTAATGGCAAGGATAGGGCTGTGGATATTTTTTGCAGCCCTATTTTTTTGTAACATCCAGGCGTAATTTCACCTGGGTCTGTCTGGATCTGTGACCTGGAAAATATGCACCTGGCACACCACATTGAGGAGACCTCTCTCTATAACCCTGGCTGAAAGTCACGTGCCACCTCGTCGAACAGTGACCAGAATAACATTCAGTGATCGATCAAGCATTGTGTAGAATATATAGTATGCACGTCAACATAATGCATTAACTCATATGCCATGTATATATTCTGTATATACTCAAACACTGCTTGCCGTCAGGGACATATCTGTTTCTACTCGTACATCATAACAAATGATTCACATGTACCAATGCACCTTACACTCATACACAGCACCACTCCAACAACTATTACTCTCTCACACTAACCACCTGTTCCGCCATCGAAGCAGAGGCTACTAATTTGATTCGATCCTTTTATTCCCCCAACAGGTGAGACACATCAGGAACGATGTACAGACAACCTCGGTCAAATGATGACCCTCCTCCATACAATGGCTCCCAGCAAGGCTATGCCCAACCAATGTTCGACAGGCAGCTCATGTACGGCTCTCGTGGTCCCACGGGAGACTTCAATGCGGAGCCGGTGATGTTGCCTCACTCTCAGGCTGCCTCCTGGTACCCAGACCAAGCCGATGCCCGCTCCAGGGTACCTCCGGGTTCGTACTACGTAGGCAGCGAGTACCCGGAGGATCTTGGGCCCATCGACTTCAAGTCTTGGCGTTCCCCACCGGGAGTCATCCGCATCCTGCAGGGAATTGCCCTGCTAATGTGCGCTGCCATCTTCGCTTGCGTCGCCTCCACCCTGCAATGGGACCTTGACACGGGTACTGGATTGTCCGGTGGGATGGGTGGCTACGGAACGGGCTATGGCGGAGGCAGCTATGGCGGAGGCAGCTATGGGGGTGCATACGGTACCGGCTTTGGAGGATATGGCACAGGCTACGGAACCGGGGGAATGTACGGGATCTATACCGATCCCAAGGCTGGCAAGGCCTTCATGATGGCCATGGTCCTGATATGTTTTGGCGTAGTGGTCGCCCTGTTCATCATGAGTTCCATCAAGTCGAAGATGGCTCGAACACGGCGCTTCTACCTCATCACCATCATCTGCTGCGCTGTGCTGGCTGTGCTGGTGCTCATCGCCACCATTGTTTATATCATGGCGGTGAATCCCACGGCCCAGTCTACTGGTTCCATCTACTACACACAAATTATGGCGCTTTGCAACCAGTTCTACATGCCCACCACCACTGGGTACTACTGGAACCAATATCTCTACCACTACTGCGTTGTTGACCCACAAGAGGTAATACTGCAGTGACAATAAGTTGGAAGGCACCCGGCTCTGTGTGTCAGTTTAATTATGCAGGTTGATCCAATTAGAGATTCCCAACTAAAATGATAATGAGATTACTCCGTTGGGAAAACATTTTAATTCAAAGCCAATTCATGTGTCAATAACATTCTTGAAAAATATTGAGCCATGATTTTTACAATATTCAATCACTTGTTGAGAAGAAAGTAAAATGGTCATTAGAAATTAGTGGGGTATCTATAAATTAATGATCCTGTCCTAATGTCTCATCTTAGTTTTGTGACAGTAAAGTTTACTAAAGCTCAAAACACAAAAGCTGACATCACGTTACCAATTTAAATATTTAGCAGTTGGGCTCAAGGTTTGGCCATGAAAAGCACAATATTGAAATAGTGCCACATTTTATCACATTTTTTGAAGCACAATAATTGTGCTTGTCAATTTCGTTTTTACATGCTTTCTTTTAACTCCCTCTGTTGTTGTCGTTGTTGTATCCTCAAATCTTGTAACTCAATTTTAACCCACTTCACAATGTGGTATCGACTGCAAACTTGGTATACTTATGTCATACTGATGACAATACTATATTCTATCATAAAAAAATCTATATTTTAAAACATTTTTATATGTTATGTTTCGGCTTGGGTCTAATTGTCCACGGTCAACTCACGTTGGCTGTAATTGGCCACAGTCCCTTACGTTATGGCAAGCTTCGGGGCCACTTCCTGGAGTCGTGGAGTTCTGACATTACTAGTACATTTAATAAAAGCGTGTTTAAAAAAAAAGTCTTAAAAAATATTACTTATTTTACAACGTGAATATCTGAAACCTCAATTAGATCCTTAGCTCCCCACGATTTGTACAGACGGAGTACAATAATGTAGAGACCGCACGTGAATAAATAGAAATTAGGTTTTAGCTAATGAATCTCTGGAGAAAGATCTCATTTTACCATACAATAAACCACTTTAGGCCCTTCTTTGGTATATACTTTGTGGTTATATATTTGCTTCACAATATTTATTTTGGCTTTTTGTGGGCATAACCATATTCATACCACAACAAAGATGATAATTTGGTATGGGTCAACATGTGCTTGCTCTTTAAAGAACAATGATATATGAAGTGATTTTTTTCTTAAGATACAACTATTTTTTGTAATAAAAGCTGCTTCTCTTAATACTGGGTTTCATATATAATTACATGACAGTATTGATTTGATGAATAGACCTCGTGTTCACCTTAAGTATACTGCAGCAGTGTCTAGATTTATAAGGTGAGGGAATGACCAAAGTTTCATAGGGGGAATAAAATCATGCCACATGCAGGAAGTAAGATGAATTGCAGCCGTCTGGTATGTGATTTTGATACACCGACGTGCCTGGTGATAATGGACATTACTTATACACTCATATTTTATCCATACAATTAATTGACATTGAATTCTCCTTAACCGCTAGATTTTCTGTTAAATTATTGACGTGTACATATGTGCGTTTCTGTGTCTTAGGCCATTGCCATTGTGTGTGGCTTTATGCTGGTCATTGCCCTGCTTCTCATGATCTTCTTCGCCTGGAAGACCAGACGCCAGATGAACAAATATGGGAAGCATAACGTCATGTGGGACAAAGCTACTGTGCCCGATGTGGAGGAATGGGTAAGTACTTATGAATGTTGTGCCACTTATGAAGCTGTATAGAAACCCAGTCCAAAAGTAATGCAAGTCATACATTAGTTTCCATTAAAGAGTAATGTTAAACATACTCATCACAGTCATATTTTATGCCAATATGGTTCCTATATCCTCTTGGTCATGTGTAGTGCAATGAGGGAATTTTGGCACTGACTAGCAGTCTAAAGTATTTATATAAAAAAAATATATCTTAATTTTCCCAGGAGATTGCTACCCACTTAAATCACTAGGTGTTGGAAAACCAAACTTGTGCGCTTTGAAAATACTGATGATGGATTATAATTTGAAGCCTAATGAGGTAATATTATACAGCTACGTGGAATTGTCCACCTTTAAGAAGGATAGTGAAGGTAAAAAAAATTGGGAACTGAAAAACTAAAGTGGAAGTCATCTGTCATTGGCATATCTGTGAATTTAATTATTCTGTAAATGCCAGGAGATGCTTGATTTTTTTTCATCCCTGCATCTGCAAATGACCAGATATTTGATAAAAAAAAAACTGGACAATGGCTAAAGTATATATGCACGACAGGAATATCATTACTTTCATCATAAATTGTAAATGATATCCTCTGCGGAGTGAGCCCTGATGGATGAATACATAAGAATGGGCGACGCAGCTTACTTTGAATTGCAGAAAAGGCGGTTGCTTTGCTTATCTCCTGCTAAATGAGACAGCTGGAATGTTAGAATCAGTTTCTGATAATTAAGCGTTGTGTTTGTCTCCCGTATAGCGAATACACCTTGCGCTAGTCACGGCACCCAGACAAGGGGGGAGCTGCTAACCTCTTCGGAGTTTGCCTGCAAGTGAGAAGGGAATAGTTGTCAAATTCGAATCCCCTGCATCTGCATGTGCTAATGACGAGCCCATTCTTCCTGTTGTGGCATCGCATTATAATCACAAGACTGGGTCCTGGAGGATCGTAGGTTATGAGAAAATGGACTGCAGCAGTGCTCTCCTCTTTTCCAGTGATGGAGATGAACTTTGTGTTAGTTTAATTATCAGTAATGTTTCTAGTGTAATAATTGGTATTGGGAGGATTTATGTTCACACAAGTTGTTTATTTTTGGACACTTCTCATTGCAAGCACGTGTGTGTGCATGATCAGGAATAGTTGTGGTTCATGCACCTCCAATTAGCACGGTTGGCTACGTACGGTGCGATAGAAGTTGAACATACATACAGCATGGCCTACAGATTAATTTAAATAGCATTTGAGGGTGATCACATTAAGTGGGACATATTGTCAGTCTGTCCAAACAGAAACTGCTTTTCTGTGGCTGAACAGGCTGGAAGTGCAAGAGTCACCCATATATTACCCCACCACAAAGACGTGGCCATTGAATGACTCCAGTGTACTTTTTGAAACTGATATCAGTCAAGTAACGAGTATTTTGTACCTAAAAAAAAAGCTTCATATGGTTTTTCACGGTTCGGGTATAACAATGTTGCTGCTGATGTCAGCGGTTATATAGATCGTTATCAATGGCTTTCTGATAATCTTTTCCAATTTTAAAGTTACTGTCCAATGTCCGTCCGCATATTCTCACACTGATATGCATTCATGTTTTTTTTCTCACTTGACATGTTGCAACAAAAGAGGTTTAATGTCATCTGGTTTCTTTGTTTTATTAACCATACTGACAGAAAAGCACCTGTTACAGTAGAAACACTCCTTTCAAGTCGTGCTCTTATCTGAAGATCCTGTTGTCCACAGTGGCCATAGAATACACACACTGTGTCAAGGATATTCACAGGAAATTTAAAGAAGAAACTTTGTTGCAACTACAAATATTGGAGCTGTGCCTCGGCACCTTCATTTAGGATTTCCTTGTCACTCAACTCCACGGGTTCACGTATCCGGAGCGATGTTCCCCTTCCTCCTTTGTCCATGGTTCAGGGGTCCCAGTTCAGTAACCTATTTAATATTATGGGTAATGTAGAGGTCTCTAGTAACTGGAGTAAATTTTATCCATTAAATACAACATATATGACCATTGATTCCTATGCCACTTGATGTATTGCGAGGTTAACGATCAATATTAATCTAACAATCACATCTTCACAGATGCTTGTAATCTAGGAGTGACTTGGATTGCATGTTGAGTATTTATTTGAGAGCTTTTGCCACGCTTGAGAAAAGAAATGTCCAACATGCGGCCAAAACTGGAAAGCCGGCTTAAATCTATTATCATCGATAAATCGATGCATTGTTATGCCCCTAGTTTTCCATTATAGTCGACCCTGTAACACATGATCCCACGTTGAAACAAGTGTAGGTGAAATATCTGCTGTGTTCAACAGCCTGTGTGGTTGGGTGTTTTCCGACCATGTGACGTTGCTCGTGCAAACGTGACCATCCTTATCTGTAGCCTGCATCTGCTTCACAAGTCCCCTTAAGCTTTGTGGTTTTTCTGCAGTAAAATGGCACCTTATATGTTCTTACAGTGAGGGGAAAAAAGTATTTGATCCCCTGCTGATTTTGTACGTTTGTCCACTGACAAAGAAATGATCAGTCTATAATTTTAATGGTAGGTTTATTTGAACAGTGAGAGATAATAACAACAAAAAATCCAGAAAAACTTATGTCAAAAATGTTATAGATTGATTTGCATTTTAATGAGGGAAATAAATATTTGACCCCTCTGCAAAACATGACTTAGTACTTGGTGGAAAAACCCTTGTTGACAATCACAAAAGTCAGACGTTTCTTGTAGTTGTCCACCAGGTTTGCACACAGCTCAGGAGGGATTTTGTCCCACTCCTCTTTGCAGATCTTCTCCAAGTCATTAAGGTTTCGAGGCTGACGTTTGGCAACTCGAACCTTCAGCTCCCTCCACAGATTTTCTATGGGATTAAGGTCTGGAGACTGGCTAGGCCACTCCAGGACCTTAATGTGCTTCTTATTGAGCCACTCCTTTGTTGCCTTGGCCATGTGTTTTGGGTCATTGTCATGCTTGAATATCCATCCACGACCCATTTTCAATGCCCTGGCTGAAGGAAGGAGGTTCTCACCCAAGATTTGACGGTAAATGGCCCCGTCCATCGTCCGTTTGATGCGGTGAAGTTGTCCTGTCCCCTTAGCAGAAAAACACCCCCAAAGCATAATGTTTCCACCTCCATGTTTGACGGTGGGGATGGTGTTCTTGGGGTCATAGGCAGCATTCCTCCTCCTCCAAACGCGGCGAGTTGAGTTGATGCCAAAGAGCTCCATTTTGGTCTCATCTGACCACAACACTTTCACCCAGTTGTCCTCTGAATCATTCAGATGTTCATTGGCAAACTTCAGACGGGCATGTATAGGTTCTTTCTTGAGCAGGGGGATCTTGCGGGCGCTGCAGGATTTCAGTCCTTCACGGCGTAGTGTGTTACCAATTGTTTTCTTAGTGACTATGGTCCCAGCTGCCTTGAGATCATTGACAATATCCTTCCGTGTAGTTCTGGGCTGATTCCTCACCGTTCTCATGATCATTGCAACTCCACGAGGTGAGATCTTGCCTGGAGCCCCAGGCCGAGGGAGATTGACAGTTATTTTGTGTTTCGTCCATTTGCGAATAATCGCACCAACTGTTGTCACCTTCTCACCAAGCTGCTTAGCAATGGTCTTGTAGCCCATTTCAGCCTTGTTTAGGTCTACAATCTTGTCCCTGACATCCTTGGAGAGCTCCTTGGTCTTGGCCATGGTGTAGAGTTTGGAATCTGATTGATTGCTTCTTTGGGCAGGTGTCTTTTATACAGGTAACAAGCTGAGATTAGGAGCATTCCCTTTAAGAGTGTGCTCCTAATCTCAGCTCGTTACCTGTATAAAAGACACCTGGGAGCCAGAAATCTTTCTGATTGAGAGGGGGTCAAATACTTATTTCCCTCATTAAAATGCAAATCAATTAATAACATTTTTGGCATGCATTTTTTTGGATTTTGTTGTTGTTAGTCTGTCTCTCACTGTTCAAATAAACATATCATTAAAATTATAGACTGATAATTTCTTTGTCAGTGGGCAAACGTACAAAATCAGCAGGGGATCAAATACTTTTTTCCCTCACTGTATTTTAATGTAGACACCCCCCCTCTCCCCATGTTATGTCTTGAGAAACAGAGATTTCCCTGTAGACCTTTCAGTAAGCAGTGCATCACCGTGTGTTCAGAGAATGCCCCCGAGAAGATGACAAGCTACTTATGACGTCCCTTTTTATGTGCCTATTAATTATTCATCCTAGCTTGCATACCTTTCATATGCGCTTGGAAAAATGGTGAGTGCATGGCAATCAAATCAAAACGTTAAGCCCTCATGATGGGTTTTGACGTGATTGGGGTCAAAGATATTTCTTTGACCTGTTTGTAAAGACTATACTGTCGTTTTTGAGATGTCGGCTTGCAGAGGTCAGAGTGCTGCAGTGGCACTGCTGGATTTGAATTCAGGCTGCTACCTGTCATTAAACTGGGTTCTCAGGGTAATAACCAAAAAAGTGTAATAAGTCTATAATCTCAGCCTGATCACCAATGACTGCAAAATATGGTCACGTTAAGTTTAGTTATGCATATATATAAATTTAAAGTTCTAGAAGTTTTTTGGGACAAATGAAGGCTCTATATAAATCTATACTGAATAAGATAATACCAAGCCTAACCCCCCCCCCCCCTTTGCAAGCAAAAACTTCCATGCCCTCTGTTGTCAGTAATATTTATATTTTAGCTTGCTTCCTGTTATTAGTCCTATACCATGCTGAGGTTAATATGCTACGGATTATGATGGTCAGCAAATATTTCTTTGGCGGCTGATATGTGCTGATAAAAAGGAAATTCCAGTACTTGTAGTATGGCCTTCCCTTGACATGACGGTCTGCTGACTCGAAGAATCACAAAAAAAGACGTGTTATGTGGCTGCATGTTAATGGTGATAAAATCCTACGATATTGTGTCGTTAAAACAGTGTTTTGAAATGGCAATGTTGTTGAAAAGGTAG